AAAAAAAAAAAAACAGAAGGAGGACGAAAAAAAACAGAAGCGAGGGACGAAAAAAAAAAAAACAGAAGCGAGGGACGAAAAAAAAAAAAAAAGCGAGGGACGAAAAAAACAGAAGCGAGGGACGAAAAAACAGAAGGAGGGACTAAAAAAAAAAAAAAAAAACAGAAGCGAGAGGGAAAAAAAAAAGAAAGCGAGGACGAAAAAAAAAAACAGAGAAGCGAGGGACTAAAAAAAAAAAGAGAAGCGAGGGGAAAAAAAAAAAACAGAGAAGCGAGGACGAAAAAAAAAAATACAGAAGCGAGGGACGAAAACAAACGAAACAGGCGAGGGACGAAAAAAAAAAAAAAAACAGGCGAGGGACGAAAAAAAAAAAAAAAAACAGGCGAGGGACGAAAAAAAAAAAAAAAACAAAGAGGGACGAAAAAAAAAAAAAAAAAACAGGCGAGGGACGAAAAAAAAAAAACAGGCGAGGGACGAAAAAAAAAAAAACAGGCGAGGAAAAAAAAAAAAACAGGCGAGGGACGAAAAAAAAAAAAAAAACAGGCGGGGACGAAAAAAAAAAACAAAAAAACAAGAAAAAAAAAAAAAACAGGCGAGGGACGAAAAAAAAAAAAACAGGCGAGGGACGAAAAAAAAAAACAAAAACAGGGACGAAAAAAAAAAAAAAGAAACAGGCGAGGGACGAAAAAAAAAAGAAACAGGCGAGGGACGAAAAAAAAAAAAGCGAGGGACGAAAAAAAAAAAAAAAAAAAAAGATGCGAGGGACGAAAAAAAAAAAAAACAGAAGCGAGGGAAAAAAAAAAAAAAAACAGGCGAGGGGAAAAAAAAAAAGAAACAGGCGAGGGACGAAAAAAAAAAAAACAGGGACGGAAAAAAAAAAAGAAACAGGGGGACGAAAAAAAAAAAAACAACAAGCGAGGGACGAAAAAAAAAAGAAACAGTCGAGGGACGAAAAAAAAAAGAAACAGTCGAGGGACGAAAAAAAAAAAGAAACAGTCGAGGGACGAAAAAAAAGAAACTGGCGTGGGACGAAAAAAAGAAGCAAGGGACGAAAAAAAGAAGCAAGGGACGAAAAAAGAAACAAGCGGCGAAAAAAGAAACAAGTGAGGGACGTAAAAACAAACAAGGGATGAAAATAAGGAAGAAACAAAGAATGGAAAAAAGAAAATAAAGAAAATAACAATTTGTGCTAACAAAACCATCAATTGTTCACTCAGAAGGTTTAGCTCAAATCTTGGTATATTTTTCATGTACTTTCCAACAGGGCTGCATCTAACCAGGTCAATATTATCTAGAAGTTAGCTCCTTCACAAACCAATTATCATAGTATTCAAAATGTTCCTCATGGTCAGGACACTAAATGACACTCAGTTACATGACCATAGAATATTTTTGTAAGCAGGTCAATAGACATCAACAATACACATGAAGGATTGTAAAGTTGTCAATAGACATTAAAAAACAATTGCAAAAAAGGACATTCTTGATAAGGTAGATTGACAAGAATTCCCCAGGAAACTGAAAATATGTGAATGGAGAATTTTTTTTTTTTTAATAATTTTTCACAACCCCCAAGACCCACTCAATTTAGAACTTGAATGATGATGATGTTTAAACATAAGAGGGGAAAAGAAGTATAGAATATGAGGATATGTAGGATAAATAACAGTTGATCCTAGATTTCAAGAGTTCAAGATTGTAATGATCATGGTTTTATTTATTTATTTTTTTTTTTTATCTCCATATGCTGAACTGATTCTAATCAGCAGGCATAACAGGCAAGTCTCCCAACAATAAACAAGTGGGTAAAAATATTGGTTTCTAGTTTCAAGTTATCTGGAGATTGTGAGTTCAATTCTTCTGCTGGGTTATATTACAATACTTTTCATCAAAGTCTGGTCTACTCATTCCTTGCATCTGGTCCTCAAAACAAGCTGTTCTGAAATTCACCTTGTCACTGGATCTGAGATATGATGCTGAGAGGGAGGGTACTCACCTAAATTCACTCATGTATGGATTGTTCCTTCTGAGAAACCATCAAAATTCTTTATGATAGCAAAAAAAAAAAAAAAAAAAAAAAACTTTCATAAAAAATTTACAGATGCTAGAGAAATCAACTACTGATTGCTAGTAGATTATTAATTGCTGCAAGAATCAATCATTTTAATAGACACAGAATCAATTAAAATCTTACCTTTAACTGTCCAAAATATGCTATCAGATGTTAAAGTGTCACTGTCCTGCCTGATAATGCAGGTGTAATTACCATCATCTTCACATTTCACAGGTTGTATATCAATATTCAGATCTTTCAAGTCACTGATCATAACCCTGCCAACCAAAGATTGATGAGTAAACTGGAATGCTTTTCCATACTGGACTAATATTTCAGAACCTTTCTTAATTATCCAACTTTGGATGTTTTTATCGCTTGATGTTTTACACTGTAATTTTCCAGTTGTTCCTACATTTGTCTCAGTTGGGGTAATTGTGAAAGTGGCTAAAAGAAAAGAAAAATAAATAAAATGAAAGATACAAATATTGGGTTCAAGAAATAAGATTAAAATTCACTAAGGGCAAATTCTACTTAAAAATTTTTTTCAAATATCACTTTTGGGAATTAAAACTTGTATTCAAGTAGATTTTAAAACAACACTTAAGCTAAAAATTATTACACATACATGCATAATTTATTATGTGTTTTTAGATTTTCTAAAAAAAATAAAATAAAAAATAAATAAAAAAAATAAAATGCAAATTAAGAAGAAAAAAAAAAAAAACTGAAGTTCAGATATTAAATATTAGATATTCAATAATTACAATGAAAAGAAAATTTATTAAAATAAATAATCTATTGTCATGAACTTTTTTTAATCATTTTGCCCCCAGCAAGGCAATAAAACCATTAAGACAAGGGTTTACTGAGTGTGAGAGAATACAAGAAAAAAGAAAACATTAAGGAGAGAGAACAAGAAAAAAACAGGAATTAAAAAAACAGAAAAAGATTGACATTACATTAAAATTTTTGAAGATCAAAATTGACTGGGAAGCAAGAAGACAAAAGTTCCACAAGTGAGAAGTGCGAGAGAAGAAACTGTTAGCACAGAACTTGGTTACATCTAACCATTTCAATTGTAAAATGAGACCTTACAGTTAATCTAGTACTGTGTTTAAATTCATAATGTCAAGGTACCAAAAAGGAAATCTCATCAGAACAATTACAATGAAAATATTTATAAAAAAAAAAAGGCACAAGAAAGCTACATTACGGCAGCAAGAAAGTAACTGAAGCTGAGATGCCTGGTCAGGATCAATATTTCAGATTCTTTGAATTTTATCAAGAATCTCTAAATACATGGAAAAACCAAACCAGATGTGGTAGCAATATTCAATGCTTGGAGAAATGGTAGACTTTAAATATGTAAGATTCTGACAAGAAAAATTGTCTATCATGACAGTGAACCACCTTTCCTTGCAACAGACCAAGCAATTGGTTTAATATAATCTTTTCACTTCATATAACCTACATATGGTGTGATTGCTAATGAATTTTTAACCCTACAAAGGATTTAAACTTTCTGCAATGATGGCACAAATCTCTTATTTTGATCACTTATTAAATTGTACAAATATCATAAAACTTCATATGCCTAGCTAATCCAAAAGTCTTTCAATATACTTTGTTACAAACTGGAAGAATAAATCTAGAGAAATTAGTTGCATGGAATCAAGTCTTCATGTTTGGCTTCTGGCCAGCTTGAAAGAGGCAGATACAGTTAAAAAAAAAAAAAAAAATATTGTAATCATCTATCGGCAGACCCTTTGTCGTGAATCTTTACTTTTGTATAACCATGTGTTTTCTTCAAAATTCTTTGTTCTTTTATAAACATCTTTGCTACATTTAAAGCGGTCAGTAGAATTATTTTCTCACACATTAACATATAAGCCAAGACAACTATTGCATCAACAATTTATATTATACTAATTTTGCACTAAATCATGTGCTTCACAAAGATACATTTACATGATTTAAATTATATAGACAAAATTACTATGTACAAATGTAAATATTATGCAACAATATTTAAAATAAAATGAATTATTGTACTGCAGAGTAAAAACATTCAATAAATGAGTGGCCAATAATTTGTGTGATCTCTAATGAGTCTTAAGATTTGCAAAGGATATGACTTTTTTTGCACAAATAAATTTTGTTTTGATTATGGTTTGAATTTTATATAGATATTAACATGTCTAGCTAATACAGACCTATTTCTACAGACGTTATTACAAACTGGGCAAGATGAAATATTTATAATTTTTATATATTTATTTCCTGGCTCACTCTACAGCAGCACCTGATGTGTACAAAGTTGTGTATGTGATTCCATGATGTCTCTGAAATTGGACATTCAATTTATCTTTTTTAATCATGCCATTTTTATCGAATATTTGAGACCTGTCATTTGTTCATGCCTTTCTTTGGTGAAGCACATTACTGTCCACCTTAGAATGATTTGTCCAGCCTTGAATTTCATCAAACAATTTTGAATACTAATTCTATGGGCACACTAGCTTTTCATAATGCTTTGTGCCACACTGTTATGTTTGGAGGGAAAGAGTATTCAGTATTGGAGTTAGAGCATTTATAAATGTAGACATCAGAATCAATACTACATGGTGACCATCAGTTATACACCTCAGTGTCAGCTTCAGATCAATGCCCACACACACAAAGGGTGAGACAAATATGCACCATAAGGATAATTTATTAACAGTATAACCACAAATGAACATTTTATTTACTAGCTATTTAATTGTAACATATGCTGTTCAAAATGTCCTTTTTCAAAAATACATTTCAGTTATGTGCCAGCATAATTCATTAACACATTTGAGAGTTTCCACTGTCATTTTACTGAATTCATATTCAATTCTTTCATCAAGTTCTTCAATATTTCATGGGTTTCTAACAAACAACTGATTTCAAATGGTCCTACAGAAAAAAAAAATCCAAGGGTGTGAGGTCTTATGACCTAGGTGGTCTCAACAGGACCTCTTCAACCTATACAGTAACCCCTATACCTCATGCTCTCTCTTTTATATATATATATATATATATATATATATATATACCTTATATTATTTGGAAGTTGTCAGTCTAATCATTATCAAATTCACCCTCTGCTAATATAATTCCCTTGATTAAGAGTTTTGAATTGGTCAAAATCTTGATGGCATCTTCAGGAGATAAAATTCCAAACATTGTATTCATTATTAAGGATTGAAGATCTGTTCTCAAAATCTTAACACTACAATTGTAACTGGATATTGTAAAACTGTCAGATTTGGTGCTTACTTTATTGTCTCTGTCAGTACAATTATGGCTGGTTGATAGTTATATTATTAAGACACTTCACTAACCCTTTACCATGAGTAGCTTTTGAGCATATATATATATATATATATATATATATATATATATGGTGGTAATCGCTTGGAAAAACCTTAGGTATGTAGGCTTGTAGTAGTACAAACTAGTACCCAAGGAAAAATAAGGAATAAAAAAAGAAAGAAATAAGAACATGAAATTGAGGCAAAAAAAACAATCGTCCAGAGTTCAAGTTAAGAGTCCAAAGAAAAAAAACCTCCAAAACGAGTAAAAGCAACTACGTAAAGTGCTCAATACATGAAGTAGAGCAAATCTAATATAAACCTAAAGAGCCAAGCAAACCTACCTAGGTTTAAAATAAACGAATCATCAGTGAAATGCCGGCATTTCCCTGATGATCCGTTTAGGTGAATTCTAGGTAAGTTTGCTTAGCTCTTTAGGTTTATATTATATAATTTAAAATATTTTATCATCACAACACAGAAATTCCCATGTTTCAGAATTAAAATTTTCATTTCATTTTCAAAATTTTAGTTCCGAAACAGGGGAATTTCTGTGTCACGATGATAAAATATTTTAAATAATAATAAGTTCTACTTTGTATCGAGCATTTTTTAAAAAAATAAATGCCAAAGAATTGTGAATTTTTAATCTGATTATTCTTTACTGGAACCTGAATCCCTTCTTTCTGAATGAAGGCAATTGCCTTGGTATCAGTTTGGCATGGGAAATTCAAATAAGTAATAGAGAAAATCACTGTCATGAGAATACCTAACTATTATATCATCTATAGTAGTGGCACACTGTAAGTTTGTAAATAAGTGTTAAAGATTGGCAGTATAGATCAGTCAGCACATACTGGCCAATATTTGGACAATTTGCATTTGTGCATAAATACAACTGGTTTAGTGATAACTGAACATTTGTTACAAAGCCAGCAATGTGCTTGGTCTTACAATCAGTACCATGATCTCAGTACTGAGGAAGGCTAATTCTGAATTTCATTTGAAGGTGTTGGAATCTGTTTACACCAAGTCCTACCAGCCATCCCTGTAAGTTAGCAAGTTTAATAGCAATTAGCGTGTAAACTTTATATATAAATAACATTTAGTTTTTGGTGTACATTTTTAATTGTTGTGAAACATGTACCAGGTAATCTAGCTGGTAGAAAGTATATCATTAAATATACAGATTAATGTTGATGGATTTTCAATAGACATTTAATATTAAACAGTGTGTAATATGGCTATCAAAAAAGAGCAATTCCTTCATGACCAAGCAGGAAAGCATGGCCAGATCCAACAGTAATTTTGCCTATAAAGGGGAATACAGTTTCAATCCCTGCTGTTTACTTAAATTTGTTGGAAGGAAAGATCAAAAGTCTGTATTAAACATGGCCTAGTAAATAAATAAAAACGGGAGGGGGGGATTATTTCAATTAAAAAGTGTCCAATGTTACATTGAACACTTTTTAATAAAAAATATTGGATTAAAATAAATCCATTAACTTTTAAAAATATACACTACATTTCAAAAGTTTGAATTAGCATGGGATGAACTTGACAAGAGTGAAACCTTTCCATCCACAAAAGGAAAAAGAGCTCTTAGAATCATTTGGAAAAAAAAAAAAAGAATCACTTAAACTTATACTTTAAGAAACATTTATAAGAAATGCCAAAAATTTAAGTTGTAGTAATCAAGTGTACAATATACAGGACTATATTTTGACGAGAGCAAAATTTGATCATAAAATGTTTTTGTCATAAAATTTCTAATAAAAAAAATCATGTCTCACTTTTTTTTAACCATGTATGATGCTTTTCTCTTATTTAAAGTACAACTACTTTTGGGGCAGATTTTAAAAAATTACCAGGAGTTCCCTTAAACTTTTGCACTGTAGTATATATATATATATATATATATATATATATATATATATATATATATATATATATGTGTATGCATATGTATATATGTACACACAAATACACTAAAAACAGTCAGACAGTACTTCTGGATTATTATTATTAAGGCAAGCAGTGCTCAGTATCAAAGGATAGAGAATTTTGTTTACTGGCTGGTGAGGGGATTTCAAGATTTGCACTGAA